CATTGTTCAAATGTAATATTGGTGAGTGAGGGCACCATAATTCTGAATATATTGGTATGACGACGACCAAGTCATCGAGAAGACAAACTGGCGCTAGAAAAATCGAAAAGTTAAATTGGAAGTTAACAAACGCCGAACATGCTGTGATTTTTATCAATAATTTCTTTCCTGACAGTCTTAATCATATATATATATGTATATATATATATATATTTATATATTTATATATATATATATATATATATACAGGTCTTGTACTTATCAGTGCATGAGACGAAACGAAAAAAAGATGTTCTGTAGGAAGGTCTCTCGGAATGAACAAACGACTGACAGAGATGGATGGCTGAATGGATAGATGGATGGATAAATGAATGAATGAATGGACGGATGAATGGTTAGATGGATGGATAAATGAACGAATGGATGGATGGATGGATGGAGTTTGCAGTGCAATACAAAGCAAACAAAACTAGCGGCACTTATTCATTGTTGGCTCGGTTAATTAGCATTCATCTCAATCAGGCCAAGAGGCCAACACAGATGTTTAATGTGCTCACCTATCATATCACTCCATCTATTAAGTTCTTTGTCCTCAGCTGTTCGTTCGTTCATTCGTTCGTTCGTTCGTTCGTTCGTTCGTGTTTTCGTCATGTTCATCCACGCAAGTGTCACTGACCCATCAAAATGTTTGTTGTGCTGCTGTAAATATTGATTTTTGTTTTGTTATATTATTGTTCAACATGTTTTCCGGTCAGTTTTTTCCTAATTAATACCATCGGCAGAAAGCAAGCAAATGATTGAGATTTCAAAAATGCCTGCCTGTCTGGCCTAAGAGTTAAATTGTTGTGTCCTGTTGAATATGATACATTCGTTGCGTAACTGGCACGTATCAATATGATTTATGCTCGTTTGTGTGTATTTGTTTGTGTGTGCTTGTTTGTTCGTTTGTGTGTGTTTGTTTTTTGTTTGTGTATGTGTGCGTATATGTTTGTTTGTATATGTTATTTGTTTGTGTGTGTGTTTGGGAAATTTTGAGAATATAAATAATATAAATAGGAACGAATGAATGAATGAACAAATAAATACATGAATGAACGAATGAATGAATGAACAAATAAATACATGAATGAACGAATGAATAAATATTTAAACATCTCCACAGCTTCCTCGCTACCAACTGAATAATAATTATTGATTTTGGAAGAATATAACAAAAATTATGATTCAACATTAATTAATTAATTAACATTAATTAATTCAAATTAACATTCAACAACTTGCTCTACCGCTGAACCTTCCTTCCTTATAGTTGTCAGTCATTTGTGCTGGTTCGAAAAGTTGTAAAGATCTAATATCTTACAACGATCTGTTTATTTATTCATTTTCAATGTTGAATTTTTTCACATCTTGTTAATTAAACTGTAACGTTACAACCGTTAGTGTGTTTTATGAAACCATAGGACCGTACCTACGTAAATGAAGTTTGATCTGAACCACAGTTGGGGAGAGCATTTGAACGAAACGAAACGAAATTTTATTTGCTTC